GCATCATTATACAATTATTTACATACGTATGCTTCAGGGCGCATTAACGTTGTAGTAAATTCATATAAAAATAAGAAATGCAAAAAATAAATACTGGTAAATTATGAAATCAACGCAAAAATATATCAAATCGTCTGCATTCTTCGTGTGTTATATTTCTTTTCTTTTCCACCAAAAAATTGAAATCCGAGAATTAATAAATCATAAAAATGACCTATCACAATGACAATCAATCTTTATAAAATCATTAAACTTTAAAAATAAAAAAGCTTTGCTAAATGAAGCCATAAAGTTTTGTATTTTATTTGAATGGAACTGAAATCTATATTGTTATACATAATTTATTTCAATAAATCGCAAATTTCACGAATTGCACACCGTGCGTTTTTTTTTCGCGCTTCAGAGCATCACGAAATTTTTATGGATTCCAGCGGTTCCAATAACGCAAAATTCGCGTACTCGCTTTCACGTAATCATAAAGTTAATTAGCGGAGAATGATAGCCGCGCGCCTATCACAAGCAGCATGCGCGACCGCGTAAATCCCCATCGCACCTAAAGTAATAGTGCCATTTGTGAACTGGCATACAACACGTTCCAATGAATTTACTGCGATAGAGAAGAGTGAGTGTAACAAGAAGTAACTATAACAGACGACGTGCCTAGGTGGTATCGCCCGTCGCATCCCTTTCGCCGCACGTCTATGTTCACCGGAAGGACGGGGAAGAGTCGCGAAAACACGCGGCAATCGTAATGCGCCCGGTAATTTATTTTCCGCCACCGGTAATTTATTTACACGCGCGCATTTTTCAGCGGCGCACGCGAGGCTAAAAAAAAATTCAAGTAAAATTCGCTCACCCAAGACGCTCGTTTCGTCCGAAAGATAGCCTGCCGCGGCGAATCTTAATCTATCAGTGTCAATGGCGTGCTAAAATATTCACGATAATATTGCCGCAAATAACTCTGTTTTCCTTTTTTGACATCAGTGGCCTCGAATACGCGTATGTATGAACGCGTGCACATATGTATGTATACCGTAATATTCCGAAAACATTTTTTCATATCTCGCACGAGCCCTGTGATAATCCGCCGCGAGCCGGGCTACGGAAACAGCTTGCATAATCCAAAATGTAAATGCTATTACTACCGTACCGTTGGAAAATCTCTACCATAGTTCGCACTCATATTGAACAATATCGTGAATCTCCGGGATCCGGAAATCCGAGCTACTTTTTTCCACGTCCCAATTGTACTTTAGATTTTTTCATATTATAAAGCAAGAATATACATATATGAAAATGCGCGTGATTAATTGATGATGTAATGAGCATTCAAAATGGACTGAAAAGGAATTAAAGTATTCGTTAAAGGATTCTCGACGAGAATTTACAATGTATCGCAATTTATATATCAGGAAAAAAAATATATCGATGAAAAGTACAGTATTACAGAATAATGCATATTATGCATATCGCGAACAAATGCATGTAACGAGAATGCGAGGCACAATGGAGCTAAAATCCGAGACTAACAACGAAGTGCATGCATTAACGCTCAAAGTCCCCCTACTCTCCCTCCCTCCCTGCCCGCCGTCAAATGCAAGCGCATTAGCACGCAATTAATTCACCGGTGTCCATTGTATCGCGTTCTCTCCCGCGAATTAAGTCCATCGCTTGTAAATTCCAACGAGCACAACATAAAATAAATCACCGCGCCGCCGCCGCGGCAACGTATCGATGGTCCCGTAAGAGAGCTCGGCGATGGCATTACATATTATCGTCATTGTTAACAACCCCCCAAGCTTTTTCCGTTCGACGAGACTCAAGAATATACGTATAAATCGAGCCGATACTTTTTCTCCGCCACCGCGGAATAAAATGACTCCGATGGCGTACAGGTCTAACGACCCGCGATAAGTTTCGGCGCCCGCGCGATAACGGGGCACTTGGACCTGTTATTTTGGACCTGTCGAGGCGACGCAACAAATATATTCTCGCCCGCCAGAAGAATGGAAATCGATACAAAGCAAACGGCACGCGATGAGGGAATTCGTAAGCAAGCTGACGTACCTGTACATTGACATTCACGAAATGGAGATTTATTAGAGCGTTACTTAATTTTATTGCAAGCGTTAATTGTGAGAATATAAATGTGCACTTTTGATCGATATCAGCAGAATAAATTTTTCTTAAATTTTCTGGATTTTCTGCAAAAGATATTTTGCCTGTTTCATAAAGCAAAGTAACAACGTTCAAAGACAATTTCCTGTGCCATTTCACTATACTATACTGACTGCCAGCGACTGTGTATACTGTTTACCCTACTTCGCCAAACTTCCGAGACGCGCGACGTGACTATAATCGTCGGAAACGATGCCGTTACACGAGCCTGGCAGGGTGTAACAAGGATCGAGTCCTCGATTAGATCCAAATATAGTTCGCCTTCCTACGTGGTAAAATTCCACGAGTGGCGCCTTGCGGGCACGGCGCGGGAACGGCGATCGATTCTATTGTTGACATTCGAACGTTTGGTCGAACACAACTCGGAAATGTCCGCGGAATTAAAACAGTTTCCACTCGCAATCAGGCAGTAAGTTTCGCGTAGGGCGGAATAAAGTTCGCGCATTCGTTTAGGTTTTTCGGTTGACAGCGGTAGAGTAATGGTAGGTCAGTTTAATTAAAAAGTTACGACGACCTACAAGCTCGGTTCTTAGCTTAGCGCGGCCAGCCGCGAAGCTCGGAACTTCCTGGAGGAATATTAAACCGTAGGAAAAAGTAAACTTATAACGGATCTGCATACATGCAAATTATCGTGCAGAGAATACGATTATGCTAAACATGCCGCGCCGGTATATTTTTAATACTAATAAAGCTATCGGTATTAAACGCAATTTAAGAGAGAGATTACACTCAAACTACAGAATCATTATTAAATGACCAAGTATCATTACTGCTATTTATGATCACGTGAAATATTATTTTATAATATCTTCTCTCGCTATAAGTAGGTCATTGAAATTCGTAATTAGAGGATAATCGTGATAATTAGACAATTCCGATTTCGTAGTTGCGCTCAGACTGATGTGCACTGATTGCATATGCATTGCCTACATATTGCAAAGCGTAATTGCTTAATTAGGTCACAAATTACAATTGGTATCAGTAATTACCATAATTAAGCAGAATTTTCTAATCGATTGCGTCTGGAATTGCAAATTTTCGCCACAAATCGCTGCAATAATTAAATCGCAAATGTCACAAGCGGCGATGTATGCACCGAGAGTTGCGGGATCCAGTGATCACGTATCGAGGGAGAATAAATGCTCTCGATGAAAATGGCGACTCGTTGCGCGCGGATATACGACGAGCAAATTTTCCACGGCTGACAGCATCGCGAGAGAGCGAGAAACGAGGGTAGGAAGAGAGAAAGAAAAAGAAAAAGAGAGAGAGAGAGCACAGTGAATAAGTTTCCCCGCGTGAAACGCAAGTTTCGGGGTTGTTGCCGTCCAACACAACCCACACAACCCCTTGATTCGACTCTCTTATGTGTACCACATGCCAACCGTAAATCAATTCTCGAAATTGTTTTCGCGCGCTCACACGCCTTCGCTTCGCTCGCTAAATTCGATTCGTCGGAGTGCACGTACCGACGAAAACTACGACGACCGCTCGTATAGACGGTTCATAACGAACGACCGATTCCGCCCGTGTGCACCGTTGCGAGTTCGAGCGACGAGAATTTAAGAAAAGATATTATTATCATTTAATCGATTAAGCATTAGCCTGAAATACACTAGCGAATCCAGACGTTAATTAATATATATTAATACATCATACGTTAAATTATATATTATTATATTATTATATTATACACATTATGCAAGTATGTTTTTCACTATTTAACTCGTGGTTATTTGATCGTTTCTATTATTTTTTTAAATTAAATCGTGCGAATAAGTCGGTCTCTCCATTAGCAGAACTTGATGTATACCTCTCTCTATCGCTTTTACAACGTTTCAATTATACATATATATTCTTTTTCCAGAACAGACGTTAATTGTAACTTCACAAAAACCAAATATTAATGCATGGCTATAATATGCAGTTTATTCCATTATTCGCCGTCATAATTAGAGCGTAAGTTGTAACGCTGCTTGCAATTGTAATATCGGTCGGCTAAATTAATTCGTCGGCCAATCGACTGCACGCGGGCTGCGCGAATATTTTTGTCATTCGCAAAACTCGCGGATTTCACCCTCTCGGGAATAATTAATTTTCAACTTTGCTCCGCTCCGCGAGACGAGGCACAGGCATTATCCCGGCTTTATACAAGTAACACGTATATGTTTAGTAAATGACGTCCGACAAGTTCAACGCCGCGTGCACGCGCGCGCCGCGCCGCTAATACCTGGCCAGTTCCATTTAGTAATTGCTACCTAACACGCCTCGTCCAACTTATTACTGTCTAGGCGCTGTCTACACTGTGGCGTTCCGCTGCACCACACCGACCGACTGCATGTATATTCATCGTGTATTGATTGCGAATATATGGACGGGACAGTAATGGAAATTCCGCCGATTCGCGTTAAAGCGTCCGATGCCGTCAAAACACGCGGTGCATCGGAACAACAACAATTATACACTGAATAATATTAACATAACAAATGATATTCATGTAAATAATTGTGGGGCATACTGCGGAATCGCCCATGGCGATTTACCTTTATCACATACTTTCACAATTAATTGCGGAAATTCCAAAAATTTCACGAATTTTTAATTTCTCTGAATTCTGCAATCTTAATTAAATTCTCGATCGATCGATCTTCTTTATTTTAATTAAATCATTTCTATTCAGCTTCTCTCTATGAACTACAATTCCTCAATTTTTCTCTCTTCTTGAAATTAGAAGATAAATATAGTGAGAAGAGAATATAAAAAAATAGTTTATAATTGCCAAAAACAAATATCGGTAATGACAACTCTCGTAATTTTCATTTCAGATACTGGAGCACGACCGGAAGCGGTCAGCAAGCCGTGACAGACGTCCCGCGGGACAATAAAGCCGCAATCATCAACAGCATCGCTTCGTCGTACGCGTGGCAGAGGCCGAGATACACTGCGACCCCGTTACCACGTACTTCGAAGATCGCTATCGCCGCCGATGGTAAAACGCGATACAGCGAAACAGGAAAATCCGACTGGCCGTACTATCAGACGTACAGGCAAACGGCGGAAGCGCAAAAGGCACAGATCTACGAGGACATTCAAAGGAAGATGCTCAACGTGTCGAGCGTATCGAGTATGGGTTACTCGTTCGTAAACAACATGACCAACCTGGCGGATCAGCGCCAGCACAGACTCAGGATGAAGCATCACGGATTGACATCCAAGGGCAAACGAGTTAGAACACGTGAGTATGAGAATTTTGAAATAAATCCTATTACTTTGCACATTTTTATAACACAATATTACTTATTATATTTATTATTATTATTATTATTATTCTATTTTTATTTGAAATATTGTGCCAAATTTCGTCATTTTTTTAAATTAAATTTACATCATATTTTTTTCAATATCCAGTAAATGTCCTCGTACACCTCACAACAATATTCTATTCTCTCTTTGAATTTATAATCTAAAATTTATATTTTATCCGAAAAAAGTTCCATTATTCAATAATATTTTTATATTTACTTACAATAATGATATTAAATTTATAAGTTTGTTTAATTTTTGACAAATGTATATATCATATTGCGTAACATTATTCAATTCTATTCCCGAAGTAATTTATAACAGTGATAATATCCGTCGCAAAATACTGACTTCATTAGCATAACAGAATGTGGCGAACGGTATAATATATGGCTATCGACACTATATCACCACGACAACGATCGATTGCCTATTGCTCACCGCTAACCCAGCGAAAGATGATTAGAGACATAATTCAAAATGTTTTTCGATCCTTCGTGAAACCTTTGCTTTTGCTATCTAATCGAGTCTCTAATTAACTCTTCAAACGAAACGGTGCAACGGCAGAACCGAACAAACCCTCGGCGCAGTTTTTCATCGACGGCAGCTAATGCAAAAGCCGAGCGCTCTCAATAGCCATATTTCCCGCGTAAATGATCAAAGCGCGCTTCCACGCTTTTCCTCTCTTTCTCGTACCCCTTCCTGTCTCTCGCATTCGCGTTGTGTCCTGCACCCTGTATTTTCTGTCTCACCGTTTGCTGGCCGTTCCGGTTTCCGTGCTATATCGATGCAACCCTTTCCTCGCGCACGATAAAATTCTCACATGCGCCTAGCAACACGTTGTTTAATCTGATAATGGCGTAGCTATTAAAATGTTGCAAAAATAATAACCAATCTCATGAATTTTTCCTTACTTTAATAAACGATAGAACATCAACCAAAGACAGAAATATTTCATTTTATGATTAATAAATAAAACATTGAGCAAAATTGATAACTATTTTTGCGCCAATTTACTATTCGCTATTCTTATCATTTATTTAGTCTCAAAATTATCGCATGTCTCTTAAATTTACCTATCCTTCGATAAATATAGAATCAATCTTCACTAAAATTTAAGATGGTCATTTATCGTGATTTTTAACGTCTAGTAAACAAGTCTGAAGTAAATTTTTCCAAGATTTCTAGCAAAAGAAAACTTCAACTTAAAACAAAATTTCAAGCTGGGAAACTCTCTATTTTCATTACGGTCGCCCATCCCAAAGATCACAGTCATCTACCCAGAGAATTTCCCCGCACGTCGCGAGATTAGACGTGGACCCGCAGACCCGCTCGAGCGGAATAATTGCATTCGTGATTCCAGGTGCACCGAGAGATTGCAAGGTCGGCGAATGGGGTCCGTGGAGCGCGTGCAGTCGCAGCTGCGGGGTGGGCGAAACCCAGAGGACGAGGAAAGTCACGATAAAGCCGCGCCGGGGCGGCGCACCGTGTCCGCCGCTGAAGGAGACCAAGTGGTGCGGTAGCGTCAATCCGTGCTCGGAGAGTAAGGCGATCATCGACTACCATTGGTAGTCATCGTCCGCGTCGGTTCCCCTCCACGAACACGTGTACCAAAGTGACTCGCTCACGGACAAAAGGTCGTACAGGCATGCGGGCGAGGCGAGCGAGGAGCGATTTATGCGAGAAACGCACGCGCCGGGACGTGTGCGATTGTAATGTGAGAAATTCGATTAACCGAGAATAATAAGCCGGAGAAGAATATCTTTTGTATCGACGGTCACGCAACGACACGACTAGGGATATACTTATGAGCTACGAATTACAGCAACCGTTCTCTGTGTGTGATTTGACAATATATATTACACAAAAAATTCGTAAACGGTATCTCTGATATTCTAAGATAAAAGGCATGTATAATAATTCCGACGATTGTTTGTAATGATCATGCACGACGTAATCCCGATGACGTGTGAAATCCCTAACAATTAAGTCTTGCTTACTATTACAACGAGTGGCTGTGATGAGGGCTTAAAGAGTCGCGTAATCAAATCATATTTTTTAATACGATCGGTATTTCCATTCGTTATGCAATCTCGAACGACCGGAAAAACATTATCATTCAGTGGCTTCATTCTGCTCGATTGCATTTATCGTCGTTTGATGTCACACGTTCATTGTACGATATATACACATTGTCCAAACAATGAAAACACAAGTTTTATCAAAGAGAAATTCGAAAAGCTGACTCGTGTCGTATCACATTTCCGCGTGTATCGCTAAAATGCGTTGGAGGCTCGATTTTCACTCGTCAGAGTGCAAAACATTTAAATTTTTTTTTTTTGTTTTCGGAGTAATTGAACAATCGGTGCGGTTTGTCGAATTTGTTATGACGGGGTTACGGTAAAACTATCGTGCAAAAAAAAAATATATGTCTATTTGAAGTATCTGTCTAGAGCAAAAAGTATCTTGCTAATGCAAATTGAAGAAAAGCGCGAAAGCTTATAACGTTTCCACTGCAAATAATATCTCGCGATGTCACGGCAGATAAAGTCAACTGTTCAGTATTTGCATCTCAGTTACAACTGCTAAAGATCGTAGATTCTCTTAATTTAGATGTTAGTTTAACGAATCGCCGTCGTAAATTAAATTAATTCCCGATTTTCCCGCGCGCGAAAGGCGAGTTTAACGACCGTCGGGACGTGGTAATAACACGTCTCGGTCTTCGCACGCGATCAAAAGAAGAAATAAACCTTGGCATAATTGGAAAATTGGCCCGACTTTCCGGAAGAAAAACGTTAGGTGCAATTAAGCTGACAGTTTAATCGCCGGTACAAATGACGGACCGCGGTGCGAGCGCGGTGATCGGCGGGCTACACGCTCAGGTGCGAGAATTCCGCGATGAAATTCAACCGTCGCGTGCCGCTCCGGAGTCTCGCCGAGATTAAGCCGGCGTTCCCGAACGTAGTACGTTACTTAGAGCGAAGTTTTTATCGACTCGCTATTTCTCCCGCGAAACGGAAATAGTACAAGCGTACAAGATTCGCAATGGCGTAGATGGAAACCCTTGTCAAATAAAGCAAATAGAGTTAATAATGAAGTTAATATCTAAATGAAGTCTGTGTGAATTTAACAAATCCAGTCCAAGTTATTGTATTCACATTACTCAATTCTGTACTTGTGAAGCTCTACGCTTTGCCGTCTTTTCACTACTGCTTTACTTCCAGGGAATTTCATTCTCGAGAGAATTCGCGAAATACGCTTGCACATAGCAATTTCGAAACGTCGTGCAATGATCGAAAAAGTCAAAATATTTCGCGCGAAGAGCGTAAGATCGGCGCCCGCGTTGGCCGTATCGGATAAATGTCAGGACGATTTTCAGCGCGGGATGCGCACTCGCATAGAATTCGAGACAAGGTCGCGTGGGCGTTTTTCGCAAAGCGTCTCCTCGCTCGACGACGCCGACGAAGGATACAGGAGAATAAAGGAGGAACCTATAGAGCGGGTTCTGTAAACGTTTTCTTTTCTCCACTGTCACCGAGAGGGATACCGTCTCTCCCTTCTCTTTTCCTCTGTCTATCTCCCTCTCTTTCTCTCTCTCCTTCTCTCTCTCTCTCTCTCTCTCTCTCTCTCTCTCTCTCTCTCTCTCTCTCTCTCTCTCTCTCTCTCTCTCTTTCTCTTTCTCTTTCTCTTTCTCTCGTGGCGTGGTAGGGAAATTTTTACAAAGATATCATCAGGTATGTCATAGGTGAGTGTATTATAATATATCTTAGGCATAAATTTAACGATAATAATTAATAACTAACGTCTAATTGTAACTCTCGTTAATTATTAGGCCCGTATTAATCGCGCTCGCGACGTGGAGTTCGGCGTTGTGTCACTCGTTGGACAATGTGAAACTCGAAGTTGTAAGAAAACAGCGCACGGACAGCAATGTCGCAAGGGAATGAATCTAAAAAAAGGTGCAACGTTGAATTCCACATGCGACGCACGTCGACGCACGGCTTGTCCTTCATGTCTAGCGTCCACAGCCGCTATTCTCGCCGGATCGATTGACGCTAAATGCGGTTGCCCGATCGCGAAATCTATGACGACCGGTTAAATTAAATTAAATTTTAAAAAGTAGTCGTAATTTATCTGATATAAATGGTAGTGAGTGTAATTGAATGTAGAATGTTCGATTTATATGCGCGAGAACTGCACAGTCGCATTTAGCGCTAAACATGCGGCGAGGACAGAGGCCCGTATAGCTGAAGTATTGTATCTGTACAACTGTTTATTCAAATTAAGAGATTAATTTCAAACAGGGAAATGAGCGAAACAGTACGCTATTGTGTCCGTTGCTGTGTACGCTGCCATATTAAAATATCGTGTAAATTTTTTAAATCAATATCAATATCAAACGTGACGCAATAGTAAGGATTTCCCTGCTGCGTTGGCTCCCACGAAATGTGAAACGCGTGCTATGAAAAGGGATAATACGAGCGGAAAATGTACCGTGAAAACTCGCATGCCGCCGCATAACATACGTCTGTTCATCCGCGCTGCAAACAGAAATGAAAGACCAATCCTCACGCTAGTAATGGATAAACACGAGGGAAGCTCGATTGCGCGTAAAAATTTTTCCAAACGCGATTTGCCGCGTAGCGCCGTAACGTAGCTTCCGCAATTACACGCCTGACCTTTCGGAATCTATTACCGTACTCTTAAAATTCGTAAATAATACTAAATAAAAGTACGACAAATCTGCGTCACGCACCCTTGGACAATACTCATATAGAGTAAGATGGTATATCTTTTTTATACAAATACAATTTTTGCTCGTGCTAAGACTTTGTTTCGACTTTTGAAGCTATTACAGCTATTTACGCGACTATGAACTCTAAAAGACGAAAAAGATAGCCCTCACACACGATCGGAATAGTAGCAACAGAATTTCCCACGAAATTTTCTCCATTAAAACAAAATCGCATTTAACGGAGATACCTTCATTAAAGTTATGGTCGAGAATCTGGCACGCATTTTATACGGGAGGTGTACCGCTTTCAGCCTATCATTCAAGCGCGAATACAGGAAGCACGCGGACGAAGGGGTAACTTTAATTACGACGATACTTGTGGTGCTCTCGTATTACATTAAAACCCGATCGTTCGCGATAATTAGCGGCTGATCTTCGCCAGAGAGAATCCCTCGAAAGCCACCGCTGGCGGCGGAAGCGCGCGGTCGAGGTAAAATATCGAGCCGGGCTAATCCCTGAGATGGAAATCTAGCCTGCGTATTGTAAAATCTTTCATGGAACAATACCGCACACGGCGATAAGAGAACCGCTTTTCATTTCCCAATATATATATATATATATACATATATATATATATATATATATATATAATATATATATA